AGCCAGGAAGGCCCATTATGCAAATAAATTTGAGGAGAAAATTCTGGGATGTAGTTCCCCAGCAGATCAGATCCTTCACCAAGACTATAAGGCCCTGGATTCAAACTCAGTATCCCAAACTTTCCAAGATAAAATAGCACACAGCAAAAACTCATGAATAAAAGCAGAATCCACCTACACACACACACACACACACACACACACACACACACGCTATCCATGTAAAATTCAAAACACTGGAAACAAACTTTAAAAGTATTCACACATCTTTTAAAAATGAGGAGAGGAAGGAAGGAGAATGAAAGAGAGGAAAGACAAAGGCCACATACAGTCTAGGAAATCAAAGCGGCTATAGAATTCTCAAAAGCAATTATGGAAAGTAGGAAGTGGTATCAACCAAGTTGTAAGAGAGCACAACTTTTGCAACCTGGTATCCTTTACCTAAACAAAGAAATCAAGTTCAAGTGTAAAGGTAAGCCAACACCATTTAAAGACAGCAAGCAAATAAAAAATGAAGTCAACACTGGCTGTGGAAAATGAAGATATACCCACTGGAGAAACGAAAGAGAGAATCCAAGAGTAATAGTTGAGTAGCAAGCCTAGATGACAGGCTAGCACAGAGGCCAGAGTGACATGGACTTCCTAGAGAAAGGCCAAGTCAATACCCTGAGGTTGAGGCTGAGGGGCGAGTGATACAGACCATTAATGATAAGACTAAGTGCAGGGTGCAATGGGGACCATATACTCCAGCCACTGACTGACTCAAAGGCAGTTCCACAGTAAGAGCAACCCCAGTGAGAAGTTCTAAGTAGCTCTCCATCCTCTGGCATTAGTGCAAGCTTACAAGTAAGAAGTCACCAGAGAGCTGAGGAAGGGCTCGATCCATGTGGAGACCAAAGCACACACAATTTGGAGACCAGGAGAAAACTGTGCTGATGAAGAAATTGGAAGGGACCCACCCCTTCCAATACACCAAGTGTCTGTGGACAGAGAAAGGAGCAGGGCAGCCATAGGACACTGTACTGTGGATAGAGAAAGGAATGATCTTTTATAAAGCTTAAGAATATTCCAGAGTGACATTAACTGTTGGGAGAAACTCCTAGAACAAGGGCAACCAACAGGTAGGTCCGTTTTATCCCAGAAATTTAAAAACTCAAAGTAAGGATAGTTCTTATTTGATAAACTCTTAGGAGCACAAGGAGTTGAGTTCTGAGAGTCTTCTAAATTTAATTTACCTGACAATTCTGTGAGAAGTTATTTATTGCCTTCATTGTTTTCAATTGAGGAAACTGAGGCATAAGCAAACAGCCTGAAGTCATATGAAAGGAACAGAGGGCAGAGAAAAGACAAGGCTGGGTGGTCCTCCTTCTGAGCTGCTCCTGACTGGTAGGCACACTGTTGCCTGTCTGGTAGTAAGACAGGCTTGTCAAAGAGGAATCATCTATACAAAATTAAAGGGATTCGACAAAGGAAATCTGGAAGGAAGTGGAACGTAGACTTCGATTCTTTAAATTGTACATGTAAAAAAATAAATACTTCAGGTCAGGTGTGATGGTGCACACACACCTCTAACCCCACATGCAGCACTAGGGAGGCAGAAGCAGACTGATCTCTGTGAGTTCAAGACCAGCCAGGGCTACAGGGTCAAAACAAAAACCATTAAAAGGTACTTGGTGTTTTACATTATTTTAATTGATCCATCCAAGCACTCCCAATAGGTAAGCAAAACAAGTGTTGTTCCTTTTCTGTATGAAAAGCCCCGACTTCCAGGCTGGGGAGATGGCTCATTCTTCCATCTTACAAGACGGGAGGTGCTTGCTACACAGCATGTGAACCTGAGTTTGGACCCCAGAACCCACAGCAAGCCTGAAGCAGAGGCTTCTAATCTCAGCAATGAGGAAGTACAGACAGCTGTATCCCTGAAGCTCCCTAGCAAGCCAGCCCAGCCAACACAGTGCGTTCTCATAATCACATACACGCATGCAACACTCAAGTAAACATGAAAAAAACCTCACTCATTGCTGTAGGATACTTAAGGACTTACTACAAAACAGACACTATTTAGAAGGCTGACACCATGTCACCTTAAGGAGCAAGAAGATAGCAAAGTCATATTGCTCATTTCAGTTTATTACAAAAATTATAGCACCTGCATTTCTAATCGTGTGGTTAAGATGGCAGACAATAGGAATTGTGCCATGACAGGAAAAACAGAAAAAGATCTGCTGAGTTTGTTTTTTTTTAAAAAAAAAAACAAAACTTTGTTCCTGTCCTTGTGGGAAAAGACAGGTAAACATAATTATCACCAAATATACAGTACTTAAATAGAGACAGTAAAATGTGCTAAGGAAACACCCCCTGGGGAAGAACAATCTTTCAGAGGGAACATCTGAGCTTTGCTTATAAACAAGAATTTCACATAACACTGTGCTAATAAGTACAGAACATTATAGTAAAATAACTGTATCTTCCTGTTCCTGCAAACATTAAGTTCACATTAAAGGCTAAGACATCAGGATCTTTATAATAAAATGGCCTTTAAAAAATAAGTCACATCATCTTCCATCCATATTTGTAAGGTTTATAGTCTCTGAGTATTACAGTTGGTAAGTGGACAACTGAAAGCACTTTCCACGTGTCTGAGTGTTTAAAGAGCTAGAGTATATCGCAATATATACTCAAGGATAGTCTTTCTTCTGCCACCAAACATTTTTACGTTAACATTACTTCCTGGGTCATAAAATGAAATGAGGACACAACCCTTTCTTCCAAAGGAGATCAATGGTGACAAAGCCTACAGGGTGCAGATGACACAGGCTGGCATGGAGGAAAGGCAGGGCTCTAAGGCTGACTCGATTTTGACTCTCCTAGGTATTTCCCAATTATCTCCCAAGGGCAAATTTAAATGATTTAAAAAAAAAAAAACTACAGTGAGATAAAAACAATCTGCAATAAAACATAATTAAAAATAGACCTCAATGGTTGGTCTGCATGCTCCTTGGCTGGGGGACTCAGATCTCAGAGAACTTGGAGGAGGCCTGGCAAATAATATGTCCAGTCTTAATGACTCAACTTTGATGTCAACTAACACAAGTTTGTAATAAAGTTCAAAGACAGTCTGAGGACTGCTTATGTTAGCTACAGCAGACAAATACTTCACATTGCTTCTTGTGCTTCTCCGGAAGGAACGTAATTCTACCCACTGACTCCTGTCCCACCTTGAGCTCAGTCAGGAAACAGCTCTGCACTCTCACACTGGGATTCACTCACAGATAAAAGCCAGTGTGCAGTATCCTCTGACTTAACCTTGGACAGCAGGTCTTCCCAAGGCCTGCCATCTCCCTACCAACAGGAGGAAAACAAAGGAAGCCCTCCCAGGAGCCCACAAACTGTAATCAAGAAAACTCTCCCAGTTTGTAACCAGTGTGTGGTTTCCATTTCTGTTACCTGTCTGTCACAACTTAGGTTAGCATCTGTATTATATAGTTATGTTAACAAGGAACGTCACCCTTTTGACTTAGGAAACAGAAAAATTAGAGTAAATAATTCCTTAAACTAAAATTACAGGTGAGGATCAGAATGATAAAGATAAAATTAAAGGTTGAACAATAGTTGTAATTGGACTATTACAGAAACTACCTCTTACAAGTCTATCTTGTGAAGTACTTTTGTAGGACGGTAAGGGCTACATTTAGTTAATAACAAAATGTAAATATATGACTATCAGAAAAACAAAAAAACTGAGAAAGTATTTTCACCTGTTTCAATTATCATAACTTTTTACTTGGGAAAAAAATGATGAAAACTTCACTAAAACACATGGCCTTGTTTTCTCTTTATAAAATTCTTTTGCAACATTTTCAGTTTTTCAAAGTAAACCCACAAACATACAAATAGAATATAAATGCTTCAACTGGAATGGCTGAAAGTTTAATGTAAAAAATCCCAAAATATTCTAAAATAATTAACTATCTTAAATGTTTTTTCAAAACTTCAGTGAAAAAGAAGTCTTTTTACAACTACTATACTTCTGATCTGTTTATATACACTGGAAAACTTATAAAAAGAACTTTTCTTTTTTTAAAAAAAGAATCTTAAAGCAATGCAGAAACAGAGTTCACAGCTTGGCAGTCTGACTCACTAAGTGTGATTAACATATTATTTTCAATATAATTGAAAAAACTGCTGGCCTAATACTGACTTTTAGCCTCTCTGCCTTTTGGTGAGAAGAAACAGGTGGGACAGATTACCCTGTATAAAATCAGCCCTTTAAGACTGACTTCACTCTTTAAAATGGCTACCACTTTCATCTACTATCAAAAGAAAAAAAAATGTACAGCATTACTTACTAGCAAGGATAAATCTAGGTATTTTGCCCTTGGAAAATACACTCTTAAGACCCACATTCCTCTTCTGTTCGGATAAAGTTTATAAAAGCTGGTACAAAAGCTAACAGTATGAGGGCAGCCTATATCACTCAGATTAGGTCATCTTTCCCACAGTGCCCTAGGAGGACAAGCAGGTAACAGTATCTTTCACAGCCCGAGATCAAACATACTAGGAAAGAAAGGGGCTGTATAGCAAGAACAAACGTGGGAAACACAACCCCAACAAGAAGTGATCATAAAGATTTTAGTAGCTCAGAAGAATAGCTTTAACTATTTCGTGGGATACCAAAATGTAAGCTGCTTTTCATAATCTTCTCAAAAGCACTTTACAAATAATAAAATCTACCTGGTAACCCCAAGCCTATTCGTCATATACACCTACACTTTATAACTATCGTGAACATTATTTTCATAACCTAGTCTACCTCCCAACCACTGAAACCATTCTGTGAGACTCTTCCTCTGGAAAACTTACCATGAATAGGCACTTCTCACACACAAACCAAAAGGTATATATATATATACTGCTTTAAACTAACTGCACCCACACGTACTGCTACTCAGGAGATTAACTTTGAACTGCCCGATGTCTGCAGAAGTACATGGTCTTACCTCTCGTCCTCGCCATCCACCAGGGGTGTTGTCAGCGGTAGCACCTTCAACGGGAAGAGAGAAGCAGAGGCTGCTAGGCTGCTGCTACTCCCATCTGAAACTGCTGACATTCCCCCACTGTCACCACTGATAGTCTGAGGTAAGCCGCCTAAGGAGGGCTCCGCTGGGCGCCTGGTATCTTCCATTTGGCTTCCAATTGCCTGAGCTAATGATTGTGTAGAGAACTGAGTAGAACTTAGTGGTATCTGTTGTGCCAAAGGCAAATTTATGTTAGTGGCTATCAAGGGAGATTGACTAACACTTTGAACCAAACTGCCATTTTGGGTGGCTGGGGGTTGTGCTATATTCTGTGGTGGAACTAAGTTTGTTGGGACAGAAGGCATTCCAGGAGGGCCAGCTGAACTAACCTGATTTGTAACAGAAATAGTGCTTGCGGAGGGCAGAGGACTACCTGTGGGCAACTGCTGGGAAACAACTCCTTGAGCCACCGTTTCTACTCCCTGTGGCTGGGGAGGCACAGTTACCAAGGTACTCTGGGGTGCAATGACCAATTGTTGAGGAAGGCTTGAAGCACTAGTTTGAACTCCCTGATGAATTATCCCAGTTGGAGCAGGTAGGACTACTTGTGAAGACGGAGGAGCACCTTGCTGAATAACTGAAGGTGTAACTTGGGTAGAGGGCTGCTGTACTGCAGTGGGTATGTTTGCCTGTTGACCGATATTTGCCATCTGACCGCCAGTTGGTACAGTGGACACTGCTGTTTGAGCCTGGCCAATGGGCTGCCCGGATGCCCCTGCAGGTTGTGCTTGTACTGCTGTGGGCTGCTTGGGCAGCTGGATCCCTTGTGGCTGAACCACAGGAATCACTGATGTCCCTGCTCCCGGGCCTGTGGAACTGGACTGTCCAGCGGACATTGCTGCTTGAAACATTGGCGGCGGAGGCTGCTGCTGCTGCGGTACGTACTCTGAAGTAGGATTTTGAGTCACTGGCTGGCCATGGCCTGGGGCTATCTGTGTAGGAACCATTGGTTGTTGTTGCCCATATTGTAACTGCTGGGGTGGTGCCCCTGGAAGAGGAGTTTGCACAGGAGGAGCTGTCTGAGAATATGGCAGCTGGGGTTGAGCCAGACTGGAAATGGAAGGCTGTTGGCCTACAGCTGACGTTACGCCGACCACGCTGACAGGTGAAGGCTGGATACCAGTTGCTGCACTCATAGTGGCTTGCAGAGGAACAGGTTGAAGACTCTGCTTCTGCTGAAAGCTCAATTCTTGAGGCTGTAACTGTACTTGTGACATCTGTGACTGAGAAATACTCTGTGGTATACTAACCGCCGCAATACTCTGTGGAGCAGGACTACTGAAGTCTAGCTGTTGGAGGGCCACACCTTGAAGACCTGGAGGCGCTGGAGGTAGCGTCGGTGGCTGCTGCACCACAGAAGGGGCTCCCATCTCTCCACTTCCCACACTCTCTGTGTAGTGACTCAGTGTGCTGACACTGCTGCTCACGGAGCTCCCACTAGTGCTCTCTCTCTCTGAGGACGACACTTCCGTGGGGGTTTGCTTCACGGTCTCCACCGCTTTATTTATGGCCACGCCTTCTGTAGCTGGCACAGCATTTTCTTTCTCATAGAATTCAGTGCAAGTCCATCTACCTTTTTTAAAGGGTTCAGAAGTAGAGTCTAACTTCACAACTCTGAACCTCGATGTGTTAACTGTTGGTTGTTGTTGCTGCTGCTGCTGCTGCTGCTGACTGGAAAAGACTCCCACAGTGATACCTGCAGCTGCATTAAGGACACTGTTAGCCACAGGAGAGGAAGAAACGGTACCATTGCCCATGCCACTCAAGACATTCACATTAACACCACTGGTAACGCCAGGCCCACCACTCATGCTAGCAGCATTAGGAATATTGCTTGTACTTATATTAGCATTGCTATGCGCGATGTTTGTCACGCTGGGACCGAAACTACCCACAGTAGCCATGTTGGCATTACTCGTTGCGTTCGTGCCAGTAACTGAATTTACACCTATGCTGCCTGTAGTACTTGGAGCACGGATGTTCGTCGCCATCACTGATGCAGGTAAGCCACTCGATGAGACAGCAGGAGGAGGTGCGGCTGGCACACCACCATCAGAACTTCCAGTTGTGGAGAGTTTCCTGGACACTGGGCTCGAGGGTGGCCCTCCAGGAATGGATGTACTGGCCACAGAGCCATGGGATGAATGGTGGTGTCCATGGTGAAGGTGGTGCCCATGATGAATGTGATGGTGGTGATGGAGGTGGTGTGGATGAGCATTCCCGTTGATCACAACGTTTTGTTGTGGAAGGTGAGGCAAAGGAGGCTGAGGAAGGTGGGGCTGGTTAGGAGAGACTGCCCCAGGTGTCTCAGCTTCCTGGAAGTTATTCAGAGTCTCCTCTGAGGAACTGCGTTCAGGCTCACCTAAGTCAGTGGCCCTGGAAAGGGAGACATCAAGGATCTCGGAAGAAGAGAGATCTTCCGTGTGCGACTCGTCCAGATCGTCGTAGCTCTCCGTGTCCTCTGCTATGCTGTTGTTAGAGCTGATGCTGGCAGAGATCTGAGCCGGAGTAACGCTAGTTATCTGGAAGCCACTTTTCTTTTTCATCTGAGTTCCGCCTGGCGCAAGAGGCTGTCCCTGCAGCTGAGCCTGCGAGAGGAGGTTCAGGCTTTGTGGAGGCGGAGGCTGTGGTCCCTGCGTGGAAGATGCAGCAGGAGGCGGCGGCTGGAGCAGCGAAGGAGGAGGAAATTCTTCAGAAGATGGAGCAGCACCACTGACGCCGGTACCTGCTGCATTGAGAGCAGAGGCGCTGCCACCACCGCTGCCCCTTCGAGGGAACATTGCCGGGTGCGCCATCTTCCTAGCACTAATGTCTGCAGCAGCGGCCGCCGCGGCAGTGGACTCTGGCGGCTGGTGCATTGTGCTGGGTACCGGGGGGCGGAGGAGGCAAGTGCAATTTCCTTCTGCACCGTAATCTTTGTATGGAGAAGCCGGAGAGGCGAACAGGACCTGAAGCTCCGCCCGACGCGATCCCTCCTCCTCCTCCTCCTCCTCCTCCTCTGCCGAAGGCGCCGGCTGCTCGTGCCTTCGAGGGCTAGCTTCGGGAAGGGAGGATGAACCGGGTGAACCAGGTGGCTGGGGAACCGAAGGGGGACCCCTTCAGTCCTTCGCCATTCACTTTCCCCTCCAGTCACACACCCCCCTTTATATTCCGCTTCACGTGGGGTGCGGGGCGGGAGGGAGGGGAGCCCAGGAGGGGGCGGGGGAGGCGAGGAGAAGCGAGAAATGCCCACCTTCTTTGGCCAACTCCGGAGCCAGCTCAACCCCCTCCTCCCGCGGCGGCGGCCGCTGCAAAGCCCCTCCACTCGCCCTGCACCGAGGCAGCGCGGAGCGAGCGGTCGCCCGGCCCTCGCCACCCCCGGCGCCGCGGCCGCCGGCGAGCCCTGAGCTCAGCGTCGCTCCAACCTCCCCTGCCGGCGCGGCCGGCCCCGCTCGGGCCTCCCCCCGCGGCCCGCGGCCCCTCTCAAACCCCCTGGGCTCGCGACGGCTGCTCCGGGAGGAAAGGCTGGCCGCGGCTGGAGCCCGGGCGGCGCGGCTGCGAGCGGGGCGGCGGCGGGGCGCCCGGTACGGTGAGCCCAGCAACGAGGCGCGGGCGGGCGCGCAGAGACGCCGGGTCCTCGCGGAGCGCGGCCGGGGCGCGGCGGCGGCGGTGGCGGCAGCAGCGGGAGCCCAGGGACCGCTCCATCACTGGCAGCCATGGAGCCCGAGCATTTTCCTCCCTCGGGGCAGGCGCTGGGCACGGCACACGTCCTCGGAGAGGAAGGGCGCCGGCGCCCGGGCTGCTCCGGCGGGCGGCGGGACGTGCGCGGGAGCGGAGGGGCGAGCTCGCGTCCTCTTCTCAGCCCCGCCGACTGGCTCGGCACCGAGCTGCTCCCGCGACCGGGAGGGAGGGGGCCGCGGGCGGCGGTGGCTCCTTTTCGCGGCGGCGGCGACGGGCGGCCAGACGGGGCTGGTGCAGCGGCTGCAGCCGACGCCGTTCAAAGAAATGAGAGGTGGGGTTGGTCGGTGGCGGCGCGGGGCGGGGGAGTGGGAGGGCGTCGGGCGAGGAGGGGGCTGTAGTGGTTGTTACTAGTGCTCTTCTCGGGCTGCTCCGTATCCCCTGGTCTCTCGCGGCATCAAGAGAGGAGGGACCAGCGCCCCAGCGCGAGAGGAGGAGGGTCGAGCTCTGACCGAGGAGAAGGAGGAGGAGAAGGCGGGGGAGGGGTCGCGGAGGAGAGGAGGGAAGATGGCGTCTGCGCGTGCGCGCCGGCGCTGCAGACATAAAGCCGGGTCTGACTAGGGGAGGTGGCCTGTCTTCGGTCTGTGCCGAGCTCTAGGCTCTGTCTCCACGGAAATTGCCGAAGGCCGGCGGAGCCGCCGACGCCTGAGGGCGGTGGGGGTGGGGCACTTGGGCGCGCGAGCGAATCCGGGTCGCGTGGAGAAGCTGGGGTGGGGCGTGGGGGGGGGGGGGAGAGCCGCGCCGCGCGCGTGCGCGCAGGTTAGGTGTGTCCGCTGCTGTCTCCCACGCGGACCCCAGCGAGGCGGGTGAGGAGCGCTAGGTCTCGGGTGTGCGCGCCCTGGGGCGGTGTCCCCCACCCCCACCCCCCGGCCTGCGGAATGGGTAATGAGGCTTTTCTCCTCGGCAACAGCATCACGAGTTGCAGCTCCCAGGAGCCCTCCGCTGCTGCCACGACATGAGTCAGGCTTTCTTCCTCGGCGCGTGGCGGAGTCCTCCTCCTCCCTCCCCTCCTCCTCCTCCGTCTCCAAGCAGCACCTGGGCTCCCCCCCCCCGACCCGCACCACCCTCTCCCCTTCCGGGGATGCCCCGATGGAGTCTAGTGTCTCCCCCATAGCAGTGGTACCTTTTGTGCAGGGCGGTGGTGGTTGCCACGCGGTCCCCCGCCCTTCGACGGGCAGGGGCGAGACTGCTAACATATGGCACCGATGTTTGCAGTGAATCTCCCGAACCTCTCCAGGGAAGGCTCTTTACAAAAGGGAGTGGTCCTTGCTGTCCCTCCTTATCTGGTGGGAAGAAGCGAGCCGGCCCCGCCGCCAGCTCACCAACCAACAGGTGGAGCTTCCCTCCAGCCATTCATTGTCTTTGTGTCCTTGCTGTGGCCCTTAATAGAGGTAAAGGGTTAGGGCTTGGTCTTAGTGGAATTTAAAGGAAATTTGTGAAGAATGCCTTTTAGGGCTAGAAGAGCAAAAGGACCAGCTAAAATTCCCCCCTCCCCTTTTTCTAGATTTCATGGATGTAGATAAGGTTTGCTTAGAGGCAATTTTCTGTTAGCTGTCTCCGAAGTATTATTACATGTCAAAACCTCTGAAAGCAGTGCTTTGCTTCTAACCAAGAACGAAAATCTCACCCGGGAAATATTTTAAGGAGAGGTGAAAAGGGTTGTTTTACAGTGGTTTGTTTCTGTTCTAATTTAGGTTTCTGGGATACAACTTATTTAGAAGATAGACCTCGGACTCAGGAAATCACTGATTTCCTTTTTGAAGGAACAAACAACACCAAAGTGCTCATCAGCATAGCACCCCTCATTCTGTACATTAAAAGTTTGAATGTCACCTATATACTGTTTGATAGAAATGACTCCTAGACATCTTTTATCTGCTCTGTACCAAACCCTCACACCCACCACCTCATACATGTAGGTCTCACCCACAAAACAGGTACGATTCACATTATTTTGATTTTTTTTTAAATGAGATGGGTTCTCAATATGGATGGAAGGGTAACCTTCAGCTCACTGTACCCCGACTTTACTTTCCAGACTGCTGTAATTACGAGCCTTCATCAGCACACCTACTGCCTAATATAAAGAGTTCTCTGCTAGGTACAAAGTATGTGCTCACAAATTCTGGAAGCAATAGACAGTAAGTCATTTTGAAAAACATAAAACCGCATTGTGTCTTAGTATATGAATGCTTGTACTTTCAGACATCTGAAGCCATTTGAGTATTTTGCAAATTTAATCATTTCACTGGGAATGGTGGCATAACTTGTAACCCCAGCTTAGGAGGTAGAGGCAGGAGGATCTTAAGTTCCAGGTCAGCTGGGCTACATTGGGAGACACGTGTCTCAAAAACAAAAACAAAAAAATTCTTCTGTAGGGCACTATCCGGAAGTCACCTGTATCTGTCCGTGGACATAACCCCCAGCAGCTTTTGTTGCAAGTGACTCACCAGTTTCTGAAGTGCATATTGGACATGCTTTGTCAGCAGTTTTTCTAATAGAAAATAGAAGCTGCCCGAATGGACTGAAACTGCAAGAGGGTGTAGACGGACAGAAAGACGTGTCTTCGGACTGTTGTGAGAAAGAGCACGTCCCTAAGATCCCAGAACGTTGCCTTAAGTCAAAGTTTTAAATAGCAAATGGCAGTTTGTCACCCCTTGGCCAAGGCAAAGCCTATTATTACTTTGATGATACAGCTAAAAGGTAAAGTACATGAAAGTCTTATGCAAAGTTGGAAAATGAAAGCCTAGTAGAAAGGGCCTCATCAGATGCAGGTGTTCCTTCTGATAATCCAGCATCCCACTGGGTTTTGATTGGGAGGGGGAATGCCTTTCAAAAGAAAGGTTTCAACCAAATTAAAGACAGCTGGACATGGTGGTGCACTCCTTTAGTCCTAGCTCTGGGGAGGCAGAGGCAGACAGATCCAGCCTGGTCTATATACTGAGTTCCGTGCCAGCCAAGGCTATATAGTGAGGCCTTGTTATTCTAATTTCTGTTATACACCTATAACTTGGAGAAATAACTTGGAGAGAAAAATGTTTTAAATCAAGAGCTGAGATGGTATCTTACGCATATAATTCCTATATTCAGGAGACCAAGTAAGTCAAGAGTGCCCAAGTTTGTGAGTAACCTGGACTACATAGTGAATTCCAGGACAACCTGGGCCCTGGTGTAAGACTCCACCCCCAAAAAATGTTAATTTCAGTTTTTTTTTTAAGGCTTTAATCATGGGATGAGAGTGTAGCTCCATGATAGAGCACTTCTGTGGTGTACAGAAAGCCCTGGATTGAGTCCCATATCTCTCCAGTCCCCATGTCTCCCCAGTCCCCATGTCTCCCTCCATATCTCACCAATAATAAGAGCTCGTGCTTAATGCACTGTATAACCACTGTTCTATGCGCTAAGAGTTTCAGCTCACTTAATGCCCACAGCTGTATAAAGGAGGCACTGTAATTGTCCCCATCTGACAAATGAGGAACAGGAAGTTCAGAGGAGTAGTGGTCTTTCAGCTTGGCGAGTAGCCAGGCCAAGACGCAAACCCTGGCAGTCAGCTGCCCTGTCGTACATACCAACACACAGTTCAGGATCCTGTCAACCCAAGCACTCAACTCAAGTTTAAGTTCCACTGAAGATACAAGTTTGAATTTTCCTAGCTAGACAGCTCCAAAGAATTATAAGTACTGTCTTCTTGTGCAGACATTCCAGGAAAGGACATAAACTGTAGGCACCTGCTATGACTACCTAGGAATCGGGCATAAGTGAGCAGGAAAATAATTTGATTAAGTTGGATGATCCTCTACTGATTGAAAGACATGCCAGGTGCTTGGAATAAAGGTGTTAATCGTAAGTACGTAAGACATATTTTTCTGTATAGAACAAGATAAATGCTTTCCTATTTGAGTAGTTAGCATTCCAATGCTCATAAGATCTTGTAGACGAGCATAAGCTTCTCTTCTGAACATGTTCTTTTTAAAGGACCGTTAACATCTGTGCATCTTTAACTATAGAAAGAAAATCGTGTATCGCACTTGCTTGTATCATGATGCTAATGACTCAAGCCACTATGAACTACATGGTCCAAGCACCACAAATAATCCACAGCAACCATTATAGTAATTATCTTCCCAAACACTGAAGTTCATTATCAGTCCTAACTCTAAAGAATATGGATGTTTTATTTCTGGCATACATAACTAGCTTATAGCATATATATGTCAATGGTAAGGCATATCACTTTAATAGACAGGAAGAG